TTTCTTTTTGATTTTTTACCTGGATTACTGAGATGCATCAGGACACTAAAATCCACCAACTTTCAGGCTAAATCATTTGAATACAGTACAATAAAAGATGCAGAGTGTTATGTTGTCTTTGAAAGCTAAACTACAGAAAAAGATTAAGAATCATCAGCTCTACATCTGTATGAAAACAAAAAGGTAACAACACTATTTGCTAAATATGTGATTGGCTTTTTAAAAAACAAACTAATAACCTCTTAGCTTAAAAACACAAAGACTTCAGAGCTGCAAACAACAGAACCTAATCAAATATTGATCAGAGAAAAACATTTTTATTACCCATATAAAATGTTAATTATTTCCAGCCACATTACAAGCAAAAGAAAAATAAAGTCTGACAATTTATACACACCAGCTAATGTATAAAACCTAAAATAGAACACTTCACAAAAATAATGAATGAATGTAGAGCATAGGTTTTTAGTTAAATGGTAAGAAAGACAAATCTTCAGAAAAGTTTGAAAAAATACATATTATGAACTGTATAAATATTTATACAAAAACTAAAGTTAGGATTTAAAATTAGAACCAAAGTGTGGTTATGTGAACTATTCAGCATAAATTTAACATGTTATCAAGGATTGTTGCTGAGCTGTCAATGAGTGGGTCTGAGTGGGTCTGTTCAGTTTGACTTAGTGATGACTGCTGCCCAATTTCTTTGTTTTAAACTCTAAAATAAAGCTTTACATTTGTCTCTGACTTGGGACGAGGCAAATGGGTTTTAAAGACATAAAAGTCAGTCCAGTCTGAATAAATACCTTTAGTTTCCCTTCTAGTTTCTCCTAATTAGTCTCTTTTAGTGAGAACCATTCTTCACTTGTTTAAAATCACTTCTATACCTCTGCAAGCTGGCAGCTTCACTCTGCACCCACAAAACCCACAGACAGAAATAAGRTGTCAGGAAAGTTGCTCCATTTACAAGAAATTACCGTAAATGCTGAAAAACATGCACAAGTAAAAATGTCCWTTGTTCAGCATTTGGAGACCCCTAATGCATGCTTTCAAACCTGGTTCATATTTTCTTTATTTTAAGTTATTAGAATTTCTTAGAAATAAAAAGGGTTGAGTATTAACTGTGGTTTTTCAAATCTCATATTCACTAAAGTCTGATTTTTAAATAATACAGAATAAGTCTTTCTTTAATGCAGGGGTGTCAAACTCAGTTACACAAGAGGGTCAAAATGTAAAACTTGGTCCAAGCCAAAGGCCAATCAGTCAATATTTCCATAAAAAAATCTTTGCTTTAAATGTTATATAACCAAATATTCTTATAGAAATACAAATCACCTTTTCCTTCTTAACATACATAACCATAACAGATAATGACAAAAGGTTAAATCTAGTAAAAAGGAAAAAAAATTGTATAGGTCCTCTGGACGGGTTCTTCTTTAATGAAACGTTTCGTCTCTCTTCCAAGAGACTTCTTCAGTCTGAGAGTTTCAGGCAAAATTCAGGCTTTTGAGTCCTGCCTCCAGGTGACTGATACTCACATCACATGGCTATCGTTCACACCTAATTAATACCTATTGTTAACAGGGGGGTGGAGTGATACTGCCAATGGCAGCACTGTAGGAGGGGGACAGCTGAAAACGGAGGCCCCCACCTCTGTTTAATGATGGACGGTCTTTCTTCACAAAAATGGCTTCTTTTACTCCTCTCTCAAACCAACGTTCCTCTCTATCAAGAATGAGAACATCCTCATCTCTGAAAGAGTGACCGCTGGCCTGTAAATGAGTGAAAACTGCAGCCATTTTTGTGAAGAAGCCATTTTTGTGAAGAAAGACCGTCCATCATTAAACAGAGGTGGGGGCCTCCGTTTTCAGCTGTCCCCCTCCTACAGCGCTGCCATTGGCAGTATCACTCCACCCCCTGTTAACATTAGGTATTAATTAGGTGTGAACGATAGCCATGTGATGTGAGTATCAGTCACATGGAGGCAGGACTCAAAAGCCTGAATTTTGCCTGAAACTCTCAGACTGAAGAAGTCTCTTGGAGGAGAGACGAAACGTTTCATTAAAGAAGAACCCGTCCAGAAGACCTATACAATTTTTTTTCCTTTTGATTTCTTACCTGGATTACTGAGATGCATCAGGACGTTAAATCTAGTACTTATTTCTTGTGACTTACACTCTGTTAATTTTTTATTTTATTATTTCTTATTAATTTCTTAGAGGGTGGCAAATGCCACCCCTAGCACCTGATTGGCCACCCCAAATGATTGACAAGTGGGGGTGGGGATTGCATATGGCAATAAAGGTTAGTGCTAAAACAAAATAAATGTCTGTCATGCAACTCTATTATTTGATGTAGAGGGAACCAGTGTGTGAAGAAAATAAAAACTTTTATATTAATCAGTAGTTTAAAAAAGCAACAATTCCACCCAAATTTCAGCTCAATATGTATTAAAAACAACTGAATTGTGGTCATTTGGATTTAATTTTGGTGGACACCTCAGACTTTTATTTGGCTCTTGGCTACCACCTTACCAATTTCAGCTCAGTGTTTCTTAAAAATGGCTGAAGGTCAACTTTGGTGGCCATCTTGGATTTTATATTTACATTCAGATTTTGTCAAAGATTATTCTTGGCTACTATTATATAAATATTCAGCTGTGTAATCACTGAGTTATATCCATGGGCAAAATTAGGGCTAGCGGTTAGCTTAAATTGGGACTAGCAATCATTCTTGGCTACACTACAACAAATTTCAGYTCAGTCTTAATTGCAGCCATTTAAAKTTRGCTGTGGTGGCCATCTTAAATTTTCAAATCCAGTGTAGTTTTCTTTATTTATATGTCCAATAAAAAACATTTTGTTCACTCCTGTGCCATCGCAAAAAATCTAGCTCCACCCCTGGAAAAGAATCCAGTATCAAGACAWCCCCAGTGGCAAAAAGGGAAACCACAGAAGTATTTAACATTTAAAATATTACTTTTGAGACAGGATAAAATGCTAATGAAGGCCAGATTTTGCCTGTGGGCCTTGAGTTGGACAAGTTCTTAAAAAATGTTCTTTAACCTCTGAGCTTCCACTGCTTCACTTGGACCAGTGACCTTCTTCTGTTTCTGATTCCATTTGTCTGCTCGACATGAGGAGTTTTTTTTATCAGATCTCCACGTTTGTGTCTGAGCCGCCTCATTTTTGCACCAGTTATCATCGGAGTACAGCTTGGTCTCAGCAGGAACTAATAGCAGTGTGTGTGTGTGTGTGTGTGTGTGTGTGTGTGTTATGTGTGATAGCACTCTGCCAATGCACACTCATTCAACACTCTGCTAGAAGGGAGTCACATGCAAGAAGAGGCGATGCAAGTCAACTGAGCTGAGAGGTCACTCCCTGCAGGGAGGTGAAAAGAGGAAGAGGAGGAAGAGGAGGAAGCATAGTGTACATGCAGCACTGAAACCTAAGAGTCGGGTTAATTTCATGTTAGCAGCTAATGAGCCGGACAGGTGAGTTAATCAGAGGCTCTGTTAGAGCAGCTTACCTTTTCTTAGGTAAATGTTATCTGAGAAATAAAACACAAATRAAAAGGAAATGAATAAGTTAACAGATGTACGCAGGTACAAACACACACACCTCATATTCCAGCAGACTAATAAACACAGACTAAATGCACACAATGACACACATCTGGGATTATATTCACAAACTGACAGTATGAAGCAGAAGCCAATTTAAGAAACAAAAAGTATGTGTTGCAATTTAGGAGCCTGTGGTTGCGTCAATAACTGTGTTGTGATGTCAGATAAGCATTATTATCTTTTTTAGATGTAGGAAATCTGAATAATGAGTCACACTGCGGATGTCAAGAACGGTTGCTGTACCTGCTGGTTTTTATTTTGATCTGATTTTCCCGAGTAACGAGTCACATATTTTGTTATTTCAACATAACTAATGTAATTTATCTAATCAAAAATGCTAGTTTTCTAAAGATAACAGGATATCTAAGGAAAACTATGCTTTTTTCTCAAAATAAGATGATGGTGGTGCAGAAATGAGTGGTTTCTGTGTTACACCCAGTTTCATCACTTATTATAACMGTCACGACACTTCAGCTTCTTGTGTTTATTCAGATTAAATCAACTGACRGCATGAATGCACTGATGTCTGATGATGAATTTCCATTTTTGTTTTATTATAAAATTCTAAATCTTATGCTGCCACAAGAAAATTAGATTTTCTAAACGAAAATGTATCCATATTTTAACTTGATATCTTAAGATAAACTCATGAAAATACATTTCCAGGCATGTCATCTGTTGACTTCCATACAAAACAAACTTGTATTGCTTTAGTTTTTTGTTGTAAATATAAAATTTCACATGCTAGTTTAGTCTGGACTGAACATGTTTCTCTATCCAGATAAGATGACATTAAGGATCCATATTTGAAGGTTTGAAGAGATTTAATATTTTGATTTCTTTGTAAAATAAGTGTAATTTGTGTCTGTTGGACTCAGAGAAACAATAAATACATTTGTTGAGTCTCTCATGCAGTTTTTTGTTTTACATATATTGTTTACCTGGTAGTAAAAAGTGCATTTAGTTCAATAAACATATTATTTCTATTATTTATTAAAAATTATCTAGGGTAGCCTTTTTATTCACTCATATTAGTACGTTTAAAATGTTTCCCTTGTTTATTTCTTCCCATTTACCAGAATAATAAACAACTATCTCCCCTATTTTTGTGTCTGACTTCCTGTCTGCATCAAGGAACTCGGTTTGGTCAAAAGTCACATAAAATTTGAACAAAACAGCCACAAATACAACGTCGACATGTTTGTCAGGGTGAGTCGCTGCTTCCTGATATCTCAGTAAAAACAAGCAATTGGTCTACAACAACAAATACATTCAAAATTAATACTTTATGTAAAAAAAAAACTAATGAAATGTGTTTCCTTGTAGGCTATATTAACACTTTAAATGTATAAAATGTAAACACTTTATAAAACATTAACAGTCTTTAACATAACACAGATTTATGCTATGAAGCAGGCTCACAATTTGGCAAGACCAAGAACTATACTTATTCAGATTGTAACAGGAAGAACGTCCGGTGAGAAACAATTACCAAATCTTTCATGCATGTTCGCTCACTGTGGCGACCCCTGCAGAAGGGAGCAGCCAAAAGACAATTAAAAATCTAAATTATGAAGAGTGATTACAATTACATAGCTGGATCTTGCCAAATAGCGAGCCTGCTTTATTGTATAAACAGTCATTTATAGCCCTGTTATAAATGACTGTTAATGCTTTTTAAAAAGTGTTTACAAACGGGTGACATTACACTATATTTCTTAATAAAAGGGGCTCTTATTGTGAAGGGCTGTTAATCAAATGGATTTAATCGAATTTTCAGTTTCCCAAAAGG